GATTTGTCCACAGGGGGCGCCAAACCAAAAGTTACCCACAGGGGGTTTCAGTTCAATGAAGCAGTTTTTATGTAACTGAAAAAAAAAACCTTCAGTTCTAGTTTGATGATGAAGACTCTAAAAATCAGGACAAATGAAAACCAGAGGAAGTTTGGGTGACCCCAGGAGACCAGGTGGTTCCAACCGCGGGTCCGTACCGCACAAGTCCCAGCAGGCCGAGCTTCCCTTTAGCTTCAGATGGTAAAATCAGACGGTACAAGAAAGAAGCACAAAAACAGCAGGTTTTAAACAGATATAACTCAGACTGTGGATTTATATGTACTTTAAATTCACTCCAAGTGCAACAGACAACATTTAACTCAGATAAGGACAGGATCCCTCACAGGGAAAACAGACTTTCTATCACTTAATCACCTGGTAAAGCCGTGACTCTGATTCAGCCGCAGTTACTCAAATTCCTTCTTGACTTAAGCGCTAAGAAAGAAACCCCAACGTTGGGGTCCATAGAGTTGATCCAAGCTCAATGGTCAATGATTAGAGCACTGGTAAACCTCAGGTAGTGGACTAAAGTCTGTGAAACTAAACAAACTCTGAAAGTTGTTCATGGATGTTGAACTACGATGTTTAAAACAGAAACCGTGATCAGAAAATGTCATCAGGTCATCAGGGTTCATCCTCTGGGAGCCACAAATATCCGATACTCAAGACAAACCATCTTTGAGACCTGGTACTAGGACTGACCCGTCGTGAGATCCATCAAACAGACGAGTAGTTTGTCTTAATTTAAAGATCTCAAGATATTATGTTGTTGTTGGATAATGAGACATAATCAAAGGAGTTCAACGTTAAACTCAGAGATGGCACAATAAAAGCAAATCAGAACCATAAAGTCCATTACCAACAGATAGTTGTTAAGATAATTAAATTGCATAATCTGTGTTAAAAGATAAACCCACACACCGACTCATCTTAATCCAACAAAATCTGTGCGAATGAAAATCTGTGCCAGTTTTGCTGCAGGAGACTTGGATTCAGACAAACGCAGACGACCTGGAGATACCCTCAGTTAAAGTAGCGCTTCAGGAGGGACTTCAAAAAGAGGAAAATTATAATGTCATGTTGAATTGGCTCTGTGGATGAAAGGCACTTTCTGGAGAGTGTCCTTGGTGAGATGAATTAGGATGCTTACTTTGCTGAATCTTAATTTGACAGCAGCAAGTGGATGGACCAAGTGAACCATCTAATGAGAGGTATCTCCAGAGTCACTATTTCTGCCCTTGGTGCAATTGTTTTCCTTTCAACTGCAGAATATTTAAACTAACTTTTGCAAGACGAGAAAGGCCATTTTGCGCCTGAGAGTGCATCCTGTTAGTTCAGATATTTTCAAGCAATTCCAGGTTGATTCGCGCCAAACAAAAGAGTAAAACAATAGATTGAATTTGAACTCACAGAAGCTCAAACATCATCTAAAATCTGAGATATGTTTGACTTTATGAAAAGATTGAAGAACACTTTCCCCCCAAAACAGTTTCTTCTTCTTTTTTTACACAACTGCACCATCCAATTTCAGTGAGAGGCTTTTAATGAGAAGCTCTATTGTGCATGAAGAAGGTAAGTGCTTTGCTCCAAGAGACTCCGGAGCTACAACACGAGGCCGACTTTGCTTTTTTTATTTGTTTTTCCCGTCTTTGATTCTGTCTAACGCACTGATACAGGGTATATGTAGGAATCCTGAGGTTCATTTCAATACCTTTTTAAGACTTAAAAAAAAAAAAACTTAAAAAAATATTTGAAGACCTCATCGCCTCTTAAGGCTGTTTGCAATTGTAGTTCGCAATTTAATCGAAAGGAGGTTAGCTGAGGATGAATAAAGCTCAAAATGATAAATTCAACATAGATGTTTAAGTCTGCTTCGTAAAGGTATGTTATCAGTATCTAGAACATGATCTGTGTCACTTCATATTATAATATGGTCTTTTTATCATACTATACTATGACATTTCTAACATACAATAACTTTTGTTCATACTAAAATTAAATATTTTTATCATACTACACTATGATATTTTTATTCATACTTTGACAATTTTTCATACTTAATTAACAAATTTTTATCATATTCATCTTTATCATATATCATATCAATTTTTTATTACACAACACTGTGACTTTTTTTATTCTATAATAAAATATTTTTACTATACCAAACATGATATTGTTGTCATACTATACCATGATATTTTTAATCATATTATACCAAAATTTTATATTTATACTTAAATTTGAAATTTTTATCATACTTTACTTTGATATTATTGTCATACTATACTATGACATTTTTATCATACGCTACATTGATACTTATATTACACAATACTATGACCTCTTTATCATACTTTGTTTTCACTAAGCTATTAAACATTACTATTACATTTTTTATGTTTGATACTGACATTTGTTATCACATTTTTTCTCATACCATACTATGATATCTTCAATCATTTAATACTTTGACTTTTTTCATATTTGATTTCATATTTTCATTATACTATACTGTGGAATTTTCATCTTACTGAACTATACTTTTTAAAATATGATACTTTGATATTTTTATCATACTATACTGTGACATTTTTCTTACATACTATACTATAATATTTGTATCTAACTAAAACCTACTTTTGTTTAATATTTATATCATACTATAAGATGACTTTATTCATATAATAAGAATCTTTTTATCATACCATACTTTGACATTTTTTCATACAAGGATGTGAAATTTTTATCATGTATTATATCATGACATTTTTATCATATAATACTATAATATTTTTATCATACTGAACTATGACATTTTTTATTCTAAAATGTGACATTTTTATCATACTATACTCTGTCATTTTTTTCATACAAGGATGTGAAATCTTTATCATACTTTACTATGACATTTTAATCATACTATACCATGATATTTTTAATCATATTACACTATGAATTTTTATTTATTCTTAGATTTGAAATTTTTATCATACTATACTACGACTTTTTCATACTATACTATTATATTATTATCATACTATACTTTGACATTGTTATCATACATTACCATATTATATTATTATATTATTATTACACAATACTATGACCTCTTTTTTTTATACTTTGTTTTCATAAAACTATACCTAACCAGGATTAGAACCCAGGACCTTGTTGCTGTAAGGCAACAGTGCTAATCATCACACTATCATGCCGCCAATGTCATTGAAGATCATTTTATCATATTACACTATGATTATTTTTTAACGTACTAAGCTAGGATATTCTTATCAAACTTTACCATTATTTGTATTATATGGTTATATATTTTTAATTTTACTATGCTATGACATATCACACTATACTATAACTTTTTTATCATACTGTACTGACATTTTTATCATACTATACTCTGTCATTTATTAACATACTATACTATGTCATTTTTTCATACAAGGATGACATTTTTATCATACGACACTATATTTTTATCATACTATACTATGTCATTTTTTGTACTAAAAGACAAAATTTTTATCATACTATACTATGACATTTTTGTCCTACTATACCATGATATATTTATCAAGCTATGCTTTTTTTTCATACTGAAGTTTGAAATATTTATCATACTATACTATGACATTTTTATCATACATTACAATGATATTTTTATCATACAATACAATAAACTCTAATCTCATACTATTTTTAAATTGTCCTGACCGGGATTAGAACCCAGGACATTCTTGCTGTGGCGTAGCAGTGCTACCCATTACACTACTGTGCCACCCATGTCATTAAGGATCCTTTCATCATATTGTACTTTGCCTTTTTTATTCTAAAATGATATTTTTTATCAAACTATTCTATGACATTTGTGTTATTCTATACTATGTCATTTTTAACATACTATACTATGAAGTCTTTTCATCTTAAATTGTGAAATTTTTATTATTCTTTACTATGACATTTTAACCAGGCTATACTATGATATTTTATTATTTAAAGCTATAACTTTTTCATACTGAAATGAGACATTTTATCATACTGCACTATGACATTTTTGTCATACTATATACTGATATTTTTAATTATACTATAACTATTTTCAGACTTAAATTTAAAATTTTTATTCATTCTATACCATGACTTTTTTCATACTATTCAATGATTTTTTAACCATACCATACTTTGACATTTTTATCAAACACTACTATGATATTTTTATTATACAATACCATGACCTCTTTTTTCAAAAATGATATATTTTTAGCATATTATACTATGACATTTTTCTCATATTGACATTCTTATCATACACTATCTTACATTTTTTGAACATACTACACCATAAAATTTTGATCATACTATACAGTAAAACTGAACAATACAGTACTGTTATATTTATATGATACTATAAGATGATTTCCTCATACTCAAATAAGAAAATTTCTCACACTATAAATCACACTATACCATGTCTTTTTTGATACTATATTATGATATTATTTTCATACTATACTATGACATTTTCATTATACAGTACCATGATATTTTTATCATGCAATACTATGACCTCTTTTTCCTGACAAAAATGTGACATATTTATCATACAATACTATGTCATTTTTTTAAATAAACTATATGATGTAAATTTTTTTCAGACTTTACTCTGACATTTTAATCATACTATACCATGATACTTTGAATCATATCATACTGAGCTATACTATGAACTACTATTTTTATCATACTATACTATGACTTTTTTTTATACATAAATCATATTTCTTATAATATACTTTGACATTTGTCTAATACTATTCTATGAGATTTTTTCACACTTGATTTGAAATTTTTATCATACTATACTATGACATTTTATTCATATAATATTATGATATCTTCTTATACAAAAATGAAATTATTTTATAATACTATTCTTTGACTGGGATATTGGGATAGATTGGGATATTAATCATACTCTACTATGATATTTTTGTCATACTGTACTATGATATTTTTTTCTTATACTAAACTTTGAATTTTGTTCACACTTAAATTTTTCTAATACAAGACTATGACTTCTTTTTATTCCGTATTATATTATTATCATACTATACTATGATGTTTTTTCATACATTACTGATATTTAAATTATGCAGAACAATAACATTTTTTCTACAGAAATGAAATATATTTATTATACTGTACTACAATACTTTTCATTCTAAAATTAAATAAATTATTGTAAACCATGAAATTTTTTCAACTAATAAGTAATATCATCCTTTTTTATTATATTTTAATCATACAATACTATGACTTTTTTATACTTTACGATGATATATTTTTATACCATCCTTTTTTTTCATACTTAATTATATTTTTTATTAAACTATTCTCTGACATTTTTGTCATACACTACTATGATATTTTTATCATACAATACTTTGACCTATTTTTTCATTCAAGGATGTGAAATTTTTTTCATACTGTACTATGACATTTTAATTATACTATACCATGATATTTTTAATGATATTATACTATGAACTATATAGTATAGTTCATAAATACTTCTTGCACAACACATCTTTTTATTTATTCATACATATATTATTCTTATATTATTTTTACATACTGATTCACATGCATTCATCCAAACATACATTTAGGTATACATCTATACACTCAAACAAACATTTCTACAGACATACAGTTTTCATTTATGTACATGCATATTTTCATACATGTAAACCAAAACACAAACATATAATCTTTATAGTTTCATTCATACATACAGAAATTTATCTTCTTTGATACATACATATATGAATACAACATACAAACATAAAAATGTATTTATACATACATTTATTCCTATAAACATACATATATTCATTGATTCAGTCCTTCTTTCATGTCACATACAGGCACAAACTATTTTATATAAAAATGAATGTATGAATTATAGCATGCTTGACCTAACAATATTTTTTTCAAAACAGACATGCAGATTTATTCATTATCAAGATAAAAAGAAAAAAAAAAAAGAAAAAAAAACAGACCAACAAATTATATATATACATAAGCCAAACTTGGTTGAAGGCTATTTGACTTTGATTTAAACAATATGTCATTAAAAAGAGTGAAATCAAACAATGCAAATATCTCTCCTCTGGGCATCACACAATAATGAACATTGGGCTTGTTTCACTGAAACGAACACCATCTGCTTCATTCCAGGATCCTGCGCACCTGAAAAAAAGAGTCAATCCAGATTATCGCTGTGAACAAATATCCCAGAGGTGAAAATAGGAAGTGACTGCAGTATTACTGACACACACTGTCGTTCATCTACAGGTACCAGCTGAGACAGCAGGTCAGTGTTCATGTTCCTGGTCCCGGGGTCGGCTAATTTTTTCATCACCAGGAACTTTGCAGCTTCCGCCCAAAGAACTAGTCCACAGGTGATATCCAGCCAATCAGACAGTGTTGTGGGCGGGGCTTTGGGTTAGAGTGGCAGGTCATAGGGTGCAAGACACCAACAGCTGAGCCATTGTAGTGTACTTATCAATAAACATTATTTTATAATGAAAGGATAATAGAGACAAACCTCCAAATGCCATTACTGTTTGGGTAATAATCCTCATCTCTATATCAGTCTCCATTAGCAGACATCTGATAACCTGATTGTACTTTTGAGAGTCTCTCAGACTCGAGTCCACACTCAGCCTCCAGTGTCTACTTTGGCCTGTGCGCACAAGAAGAAACCCTGGCCTTGAAATCCTTTTCAGCTTTCCCCAGTTACTCCTGCCAACACCAAAAGCCTCCGAAATTGGCCGTCACCCTCGGAGCAGTATCATTTCTAAACAATAGCCAATGGATTGTCAGACTGCATACATCCAGACGTCCCCAGGGGCTTTTGTGTTGCAGGAGAGAAAATAAACTTACAACTGAAGTGCGTTTGCTTGAGTTATATCCTCGTTGAAAAGGGGAAGTTTTCATCCACACACACAAATCTTACTCTAACCATAACCTTATATTCGCCTGTTCCTCAACTTCCATGACACAAAGTTGTCTCACACTCGACGAGGGAGGCAATAACACCTGCAGTGCAATAAGGCTGGATCAGCAGCTCATTTTCCCCAGGTGAGACGACCCTTAGAATCATAATGGTGGTGTAATTCACAATCCTTTCCCATCGTGAACTGACTGGCTGAAAATTGCAACTTCAGTGCACCAGCGGCGAGGTTCATTACTCCTTATCTTTAAACTGCTGCTGCGGCGGTGGAAGCGGCTCGGGGGGCCCTGACGTCCGGAGGCTCCTGTCAAGACCAGAACATGTCCTAACAGGTTTTTTTTCATTATCCCTCCATCTCCTTTCTGTCCTGCGTGATTTTAACCCAGAGCAGGTGAGTTCCGTGTGTCGCTACGGTTACATCATCTGTCTCGACAACCTCATTGTGACACCTCAGATCTCTGGCGGGCTCGCTCTCGAGCTCACAGAGACGGGCAGGAGTAGCGGCGCGAACTTAAACACTAACAGATGCTGGAAGAGTGAGTCACGCTCTTTATACGGAGACATTTAAATAGTGCTTACACTTCACACGGAGGATAGACGGAGTAAACTGAAGCAGCACTGAGCTAATAAATGACTCATGATGATTAAAGGAGTTAATGCAGAAGGTTTCACCCATTCATGTCGCCTCAGCGAAGACGGATAATGGAGTCACTGAGTGAATGTCTGATGAGTTCACACTGTTTAAAACATGAAGTCAGACTCTCTTCACTCCATTAAAAATGGTTCATATTCATAACTGTAAAGTGTTGTCTAGTATTTCTGCTGTTTTGATTGGATAAAGAGCCCAAAGTGTAACTCAGATGATCTGGTATTGTTTTTTTTTTTAGCATTTAGGGGAGACCAGTAGAAGTTGCAACGTACAGAGAGTAAAGGTCATTACACGGCGGGCGAATTTGTGAAGCAAATAATTCGCTTTTTTAAAAAAAACGTAATAAAGTAGGGCGACTATATTCTGGATGCCAAAAAAGCCGACACAACTACGCAGGGCGGAGTCATGGAGTCACGTGTCGTCAGTTTTGAGAGTTTTTTACGCACTTCTGTCTCAGTTAGTTCAAGTGACACAAACTCAAAACTTGACATTTAAAGGATTTTTTTTTTAAAAAGAGGCCATGTTCGGGTAAAAGAGGATGTATGGTCACCCTATCATGAAGTCAGTCTAAGCTGCCACACCGGCTACGAACTTCCACAAAGCGAAAAAAGCCAACTGTAATTTTTTTGCCCCTGTTACAAAATTTGCAGTTTTCTCAGGTGAACTTGGTCAAATTTAATATAAATCTTATCACAGAAACGTGGCGAGTCGTTGCTCTGGATTGATCAAGTATTGGCAGAATTTCTCAGGATACAATTTGAGTTCCTGGATCATCGTGTGGAGCTCCCCACCTCCTGTATCAGATTCACTCAGACACTTTGATTTTTCTTTTTATTTAATCGTCTAACAACCACGACCAGGTCATCATCACCTGAGGATGTAGTCGCCATTTCTCTCCTTCTTCTCTCGCCCCCTCTGTTTTACTGTAATTCACACCACAGACCATATTTTTATGCAAATATGCAAATTTTGTCGCATCAGGTGTGTAAAGGAAAAAGTTTAAGCTGAATGTTTTGTATTTTCATGTCACTTCATAAATTAGCGAAAAAGTGTGTAATGACCTTAAAACCACCGCTTCATCACCTCTTGACCTCTCGAATGAATTAATGGTGTCCCTCAAGGTTCAGGTTTAGGACGTCTTCTGTTTTTGATTTATATCAATACTAGAAGTCAAAATGTCTCCAAAGCAAAATTCCATTTGTACACAGATGATACAGTAATTTACTGCTCTGTTTCAGCTCTAAAGAAGCTTTTGATGCCGAATTAAATCCTGTTTATGAGTTTAAATTGATCTTGAATCCTGAGAAAACTGAACTCTGAACCTGCCGTCCGGAGGTCATGTGATTGAGTCTCACCTGGTGCTCCTACCTGATGACTCTTTAAGTGTCATACACTGAGTGGTCTCCTGTTTCAGAAATAATCATGTGTTTCTGTTGTAGCTTCATTAATGCCCCTGATGAACTAAAGTGATGTTTTGTATCTTCATGCATCATCTCAAAGCCTCCCCTCTCTGGATCCTGTTTACCGCCGAGCTCTGGGGTTCATTACTAATCTGAAGTCCATAACTCACCGCTGCTCTCAGTATGATGGAGTCGGCCGGCCTGCAGACTCCAGCTGATAGTCCACTGCTATTAATTTGAAAAATTTATCGTCTATAGTCTTCGCTCCGTGACCCAGACACAGGACTTACTTTAGCCGTCTGTCCACAGAGTACGTCTTGAAATTGGTAAAAAGAGTTTGTCCCTGCAGTTTGGATTTACTGCAGGAGAGTCTGGATCTGAGGGAGCTGCTGGGCTCTGAATGTTTCTAAAGGAGTTTGGAGGGAGACGCATCAGGCTGTTATATGACCCAGAACATGTTTCCGGGTTTTAAACAGCGTCTGACATCAACACGTCATTCCCACTATTCAAATATTGTTGGTTTTCAACTACAGTGACAACTTAAGAGTTGTAAATGAGGCTGGTCCGAGTTCGTCCGATAAATGTTATTATTCGACAACTTTATCGAGGTTAACAGGAGAAGAAAGATTGTAATCCTGTGAGCTGCTGCAACACCGACTCAGGCGAGAAAGTCTGTGCTCTCAAAAACTGATAATAGTGAGGTCCAACTTCATCTTCAGAAAATTTTCTTTTTTTTTACTTTTACTCGTCACCTCATTCCCTGTCTAAAATCTGCAGTTCCTTGAGTGTCCACTGGGGGCTGGTTTCAAAAGCCCCTTAAGTCACATAAACACCCACTGTAAAATGTTCGTGTGTGCAGCAAATAAACATGATTACAGCTTGGAGCAAATTGCTAAGGGGTCTTTCACATTAAGGGCCTGATCTACGAAGATCCAAAATAGCGAATGCTAAATTACATGTGCACATGCTATTAGTGGGCGTTTTGCGGGTGATCTACTATTGTTGCATGCACAGTTGGTAACAGTAGCAAAAGTAGAGCGGACTGCCCTCTTTAAACGAGGGTTTTGAGAGCAGAGTGATAAAAAAAAAATGAAGTTTGAAGTCACGGAGTTGCACTTATCATTTTGAGGAAGCCAGCAACTCATAAAAGGCGAGGGAAGTTTATTCGTATGGATTCAAACGATTTAGAATCAATAAGACAAAGAGATCAATTATTGTGACTATTCCATGTTTGACCTAATTATACATCAAAACTGTTTTTTACGAGAAAAACACTTTTGCACTTTTGCCTCCTTCTCCCAGCAATGACTGCAGCCATTTGTGTGTAACACTGTGCCAATTTGCACACGCCTTTCAAATGTGCTAAATATACTGTTCATGCAAATCAGCGACCGCAATCGTTTCCAGATTTATTAAATCACATCACAGGTGAAAAATGATTCTATTATCATCTGCTCCCTCTAGAATTTTGGGCGGTCTGATGATCTACAAACAATCTGCATATTCATGAAGGCAAACATGCTAAACGCAAGGACAGGCGCAATCCTCGGCGCCTGGTGAGTCATTTGGTCCAGACTTTGCACGTGTTTTTGCACTCTTTAGTAGTTCAGGCTCTAAGTCATGGACTTCTCTGTTTGGTCTGAACCAAACTGAACCACGGTCTGGTCTGGTTCATGTCCAGCGTGAAATCCCAGCCGTGCTCTGACTCGCTCTTGTGTAGATCAGCTCTGTCCATCGTTACGAGTCCTTCACAAACTGAGCAGGATGATCTGGACAGAGTTTCTCGTACAGTCTGAAGATCCACTTCTGTTTTCTGAACTTTAAAAAATCACACATGATATTTACAAAAGTGCACATAACACAATCACGACGCAGAGCGAGCGGCTTATTAAAGAGCACTCTCGGCCGGCGCGGTGAAAGACTTCAGCGGTGTACCCGGCGGGGTGGTTGAAAAGGGCAGCCACGCAACTTGTGGTATTCCTGCTGCTCGCACCGGAGTCGAACCTCCATTAAGTCTCGTTTTGAAGCGCTGTGGTTGAGAGCTGCCCTTTCTCGATGTGCTCTTATCAAGGCGCTGTGACGCAGAGCGGCGAAGGAGCCTCCAGCCTGCCCCGCTCTCACAGTTTGGAACACAAGTAGTTGTCAGGCTCGTCACCGCCGGAGCCGCGGCGACTAAAATATCTGTCTTTTTCCGTGTGTGTGTGCGCCGCCTGTCTCCGCCCGTCACTCCGCTGCCGTCCTCGCCGAAAAGGAAGCCTCCACAGGCGCAAACAATATAACCCCCCCTCCTTTATTCTCCACATGGCATTTAGGATGACACCTCCGGCAGGGATGGAGGCGAGCGGAGATATGAGGACAGAAGGAAGAGGAGAAAAGAGGAAACAGAATTAGGAATCAGGGGCTAAGGAAGATAAAAGAGAGCAGAAAGACGGCGCTCTCTGCTCATTTTCAGAGTTTTGATTTCTCTCTCAGCCCGCGGGGTTGTCTTTGTGAAATAACCTTCTTTTAAAAACGAGAATTAGACTCGCTGTCTCTATCAAAGATTGCGGCCTAATGTGGGCCGGCCTGTGGAGGGAGGCGGCGTGATGGTGAGCGATGTTGAGGCTGATAACGGGAAAGATTCTCACCGCTGTATTCATACATATTAAAATCAACCCTGTAAAAATGGAGGGCCTCACACACACACACACACACACACACACACACACACACACACACACACACACACACACACACACACACACGGTAATCCAAGCAGCATTAATAATGTACAGCGTAAGTGAGAGAACACTGTGGAAAGGTCGCGGCTCGCTGAGAGGGGAACAACTCCACTTGTGAGTTATTAGCGGCGCGGTGACGGCGGGTATCCTCGCTTTAACTTTGGGGGGAGCGTGTCCAACCGTCGGGTGTTTGGATATCTGAAGAGCCCAGTCAGCAAGGTGACTCAGTCTAACAGCGGAGGGGTAACATTCACGCTCCACCATCTTCTCAAAACAAAAAATAATTGCATTTAGTCCCGACGCAAGGACGGCAGCTGAAAAAAGCAGCGCTGTAGGAAAGAGAAGGAGAGCGCCGACCCCGAAACTCCTGAAACTCTGACGCTCCGATTAGGAGAGAGTGAAGTTTGGAGGAAGTCGAAGATGAACGCAGAAAATCGAGAAGTCACAATGGATCTGTGATGGGTCAGGTTTGAGGGAAACCGTCTGCCTCTTCGCTGGGTGAAGCCACTCCGAGAACAGCACCCTCTGGTGACGGGCTGCAGTATAGGTCATAAACCCCGCCTCCTTATGGAGCTGTGGACAAACTTTATAAATGAATGACACAGAATATAAATGTTTCTCCCCCCTGGTTGTGACATGTAGTTGATGATATGATTGACACCTGATACAGCCTATGGGTGTACTAAGATTGCGTAGCTCATCCAGGGGGATACGCTGTTTGAGTCGAGCGTCATTACAGCGACTCTCGGCGACTCTTTCACCGAATTTGTACGATAATTCTGCACAAGTGGAGAAAATACCGAGAGCAATTCGGCGCCCAATTCGTATAATGAAAGAAGGCGGAGCCAAGTTGTCCATAGTGTATACAGTCTATGGAAAAGGCTAACCCCCAATTTTTACTGCATCTGGAACGTCAACTAAACGGCTGTATCCTCCAATCGTAGCTGATCGTAACCATTCAAGTTAACGTGTCAATTTACACCGACTTCTTTCCACAGATTAACCCGTGCTGGAAAGGAAGTCGGGCACAGACACAAAATAAAACATCCGGCTTCTTTTCAAAATAAAACACTCCGTGTTTCAGGAGGATCGTATTTCACACCATGCAAACGGGCGGAGACGAACAAGTGAAAGGTTTTTAGACGTCATTTCACCCCGATGACACCATGGATGAGGAGATGCTGATTCTAGAAGTCTAGAAGTAGATTTCCTCCTCTGGAAGGACACAATCTACTGCTTATATGTCTATGTGGTTAAATACAACTTGTTATCGCAATTGTACGTGAATCCGCAGGTTCTTGTAAATTCTCACGATTCCCGCTGTCCGTAGTCCGCCACAAATTTCCCCTCACAAATGGATCCTTTAGGAATTGGCGTTCCCGATGCGGTGAAATTGGGACTAATGATGACATTTGGTTTCTTAGCGCTCCTCAAACTCTCTCACTTTTCCAAATTTCGACACAAGGTGATGGCGAGGAGCTGGAAATACAAAAACTCACCCCCGCGGCGGTCCTGCGCGCAGACAGGCTCCAGGATTGAAGGAGGCTACGACGAGAGATCAAGGCAGTGCAAATTAAACGCTCTCTAATTAGCCAAACTGTCACTCTCCAGCGCTGGCAGCCATATTGGATCCTGCTGGGAGACCTGCCTGATGCTCACAGACACGTATACTGAACGGGAGCGAGGATTAAAGGCGGAGGCAGGGGGGAATCACGCTCGCCAGAATCCCACTCAGCGCTGCAGCGGCGGCTCTGAAACGTCGTAATGAATGGAGGGAGACGTGTTAATGAAGCCGCTCTGAGCAGGTCCGTCATCAGAGGTCTAAACTCTGACCCGGTACAAACCTTCACAAATTTGTTCACTTGGTCTGGCAGCGACTCGGAGTGCATTATCGCACCATTAGCCTCAGACGATTGTTACTGCCAGAGGATCATGAGAGGCTGAGAGCAAAACCTGAAACCAACAAACATTTCAGATGAGCAGATTTTTTAAACGGCTTTTACTCTTTTTCGTCTAAAAATAAAAACCATTTGGATTTTAACCCGCTAGTCTAACGTTTTGAATTGAACTTTTATAGATTGGATCTTATAAATCCATTTCAGCCTCAACTCCAGAACAGTTTGGACGCAGTATGACGATAAAAAGAGTTTTCTGAAAATCTATATTTGATTATAGTGGAAACAAGTTATCAAATGTTGAAGCTAGAAAACTACAAATGTTCTTTTTAGATGAAAAGATGAGACAGAAACAACGTGAATTTACAGAGTTTAGTCTCATGACTCCGTAATAAAAAAAAGCCTTAAAGAGAAGCTGAATGACTCAAGATTAAAGTTCATCAGGATCAATAACTGTGAGATTTCATCATCTAATTTAACTGATAAGCCGATACAGGACGGCTGAGATCGTTGGACACTCAGGAGAAAAAACACTTGTCTCTGTAGTGGAAGTCACCGCATGAGTTCACAAAGAAAGAGAAAAATACAAACATGAAGGAAGAAAATTGCTAAAACTCGACTCTCTTTGGAAATCACAGACGTTAAATCCTCCAACCTAGGGCTGCACGATAAATCGATTTTAAATCATAATCGGATTATTTGATTTTGACGATGTTAAAAAAATTTAAATCCTCAAATCCATTTTCCTCTCTATCATTGTCTCGCGCCTCCAGGCCACTGTAGGCTCCTCCCCCTTCCTGCGAAAGAGCTCCCTCATTCCCACACACCAGTATAAACAAACATGGCGTTTGCAAAAGAAGGCGATAATTTCGTGGTTAAATAGGACAAGAGCGAGTCAGTCGTGTTGAATTGGTACGACTTCACAGTTTCAGATGAAGAGTAAACCACTCCCCGCTGCAAAGTCTGTCTGAAGGCGGTATCAACCCGTCGCCACGGAAACAAACTCAGGAGGAAACGCTAAAGTTTTTTGTCGTATCGGCGTTTCAGGTGACTGTAAACGGTACTTTTTTAAAACGGGTCAGAGAGTGAATAAATCTGTAAACGACGACCATTTCATCTCCGTGTGGATGTCTATCTGCATCTCTGGAAACGATCATGTGACACACAGAGGAACTCTTTTATGGCGCCAAAACAACCTTTAAACACATGCTCTGTACTCTTCTTCTGCATTACAGCGCCACTTACTGGCTTGGCATATGAACTACATCCTTTTCAGTGGTTTCACTTTGGAGAAAAACTTATTAAAGTGAAGTTTGTTTATTAAATTGAGTCTCCAGAGAAAAAAATCTGGCTTTTACTTTTGGCCGAATCGTGCAGCCCTACTCTGACCGATCTTCTCATCATTTCAAACAGCGCCCCCTTTTTTTAAAGTACGGGTTGTAAAAACTTCAGCCGTCTCTGTTCCTTTCACTGAATCGTTCAATATTTCACTTTATCGGCTGATCGAAAACAGCCGCTCCATTTCTCCAACACTTCTCATTTCTGATTGATTCCCCTCCTCCTCACCGCCGCTGGTATCAGCTCACATCAGGAGCGCCCAGAGCCCGACATGCAGAGACCTGAAATGTGGTTCTGGTGGGTCGTCCATCAAGCTGAACGGTAGATAACCTTTAGATTTTGTCAGAGTCGTGTTAGTGTCATGAAGAAAACTCACACACTGACATTTCAGGGTTCACGCCGAACACGAGCGCGACCCAAGGAGTATAAAAACACAGACCGTGTTTCCTCACCAGGTTCAGTCCTTATCTCTCATTTCTAAGAGCGCCGTTCGTCAAACTGAGCGGAACTTTTCAGAGTCGGAGGAGAAACGACGACGGCGGCGGCGGCGCAGACAAACAGAAAGTCTTTGAATAATTGGATCACTAATTTTAGAGTCGACGGTTCTGCGCGCTCCCTTTATTGGAAAACTAAACGGCGTGATGATGTGACGGACGCCTGAGACGGAGGAAATGAGTCCCGGTCAGTAAAACTTTAAATTAAACTCAAGTGAACTCAGACTTTAGGCGGAGAAACGAGAGATCCCTGTGAGACGAACGCGTCTGTGAGAACATCCTCACCTGAACACGACCTCCAATAAGACGGAAACGAGACCTTTTTATGTTCATGTCGAAGCCGTGACCTTTGACAGCAGGGTCACCGATGAAGAAGGCCGGGGTCACTTCATTAAGCCTGACATGAGGAGAAGAAACGGCGGCTTGAATTAAAGGCTAATTCTGCCTATTTTACACATCAAAGTGTGCGAACAGTCCTGGGAGACGCTTCTGCACACGTGCAGAAGGATCCAGCGAGGAGGGGGGCGCGGTCACCGGTTAATGAGAACAAGCTCTCGAGTTAATGTTTATGAAGTGCCGCTGCGTGTTCACGGCGTCCCAGAAGTGCTTCCTGCGCCGCCATACTACGATATGTGCGTCGTCTATTTTTAACAGACCCACTTAACGACGGCAGATGATCAGATAGGAACCAAACGGAGACGGCGTTCAGTGATTCAGTTTTTCAGATTAAAGATCATGTGAAGACTTTTAGAGTTTGACCAAGAAGAAGAAGAAGAAGAAGAAGAAGAAGAAGAAGAAGAAGAAGAAGAAGAAGAAGAAGAAGAAGAAGAAGAAGAAGAAGAAGAAGAAGAAGAAGAAGAAGAAGAAGAAGAAGAAGAAGAAGAAGAAGAAGAAGAAAAGGTCTGTCGTTCATTTCAAGTCCAGATTTGATGACGTAGTTTTAAAACTCCTGGGTGTAACTTCTGTTCAAAGAAGAACCAGAAAGTTCCTGGTACTAAATAGCGAGTTTGATCTTGTGAACTTACCGGTTCTGCTCCTTTATCATCGACTTACAATCGTGGAGGAATCATGAATTCATGAAAAAGACATGAGTAACGGTTCTCTCAGGAGGAAATGTGGCAGAGCGGGAATCATAGCGGGTCAGAATTAAACCAGAACCTTTTGATTCTAAATCTCTGCTGTTCTTTTGGAGTTCCAGGTGTTATTATCGCAGCATGAAGGTTCAGCAAAAACCACAAAAACAGGAGCGCAGAGGGACCGACGAAAAAACCCTGAATTCAGGAGTGAAAGAGTCCCACAGTGAAGAGTGAACCACTGCAGTCCCACCTCACTGTACTGTAAGTCAGCATGAACGCTGTGACACACACACACACACACACACACACACACACACACACACACACACACACACAGTTCCCAGTGAATACAGTATCACGCTGCTTCATCTCAAAGGAAAAGAAACTTAGATCTGAACGAAAGCGTGACAGCTGCTCTCTCTCTCTCTCTCTCTCTCTCTCTCTGTTGGTTTTTTTTATCGAGAGCTGGAGACTGGAGGAAGAGGAGGAAGAGGAGGAAGAGGAGGAAGAGGAGAGAGAGGAGGAAGAGGAGGGAGATACTGAGCTCTGTGAGAGCGAGTGGACATGGACAGATGGAGAGTTTAGAGAGGAAGGTGAAGACCGGGAGAGAGGAGAGATGAAAGGAGGACGTGACAGGTCCCCTCTCTCTCTCTCTCCCTCTCCCTCTCCCTCTCTCTCTGTCTCTCTCTGTCTCTCTCTCTCTCTCTCTCTCTCTCTCGGCCCTCACTGGTTCCCAGCTGAGACTCGTCTCTATAGTGGGAAGTCTTTTCCCAGCAGGCTGCTCTTATCAATATTTCTCTAACTCGATGTCTCTCCTGGACTCTTGACTGAAGGTTCTGCTGATGAAAACTCAGCTCTTGTATTTTCACCGTTCCTCCTCCTCCTCCGCCTCCTCCTCCTCCTCCTCCTCCTCCTCCTCCTCCTCCGCCTCATTCATTGTTAATGAAGTATCTGCGGGTGTGCTAATTGTTTTTGACTGAGAGATGATAGGCTGATGAAATAAAGAT